TTTGGTTGATTTGTATTGTTTTCTTTGCCCGCCACTTTTAAACCTCAACGTTCAGATCTCGTGCCATCTGATATGCTCTCCATAGGACATAAAGAGACCTTGCAATTTTGGATTCCTACCCATGCCACCTCAGGTGTGATAAACTCTTCTCCAATAAGGTTTACTGTTTACGTCCCTTTCCCTTTTCCCAGTAAACACAAACCCCACCAGTCACGCCTTTATTCTGACTGTAATGCTATGGTTATGCCCGACGGTATGCTACTAGCTAGTTGGAAATAAATATTATTATTATTATTAGGTCTGTTAGAAAACAAATATCGCCAAATGCTATCTGGCAGACGCGGTGGATAATACTTTATTATTATTATTAGGTCTGTTAGAAAACAAATATCGCCAAATGCTATCTGGCAGACGCGGTACGTGGATAATACTAAATCATAGATCGTCTTAGGCGTCAGATCGGTGTAGTGGATGGCGCGTTCGCCTTACGTCCAGTGATTCAGGGTTTGATATACAGTCTGTCCGCTTTTCCGTCGGAGTGGACGCTCGAAAATAGGTGCAATCGGGATGAACGTGCAAGCAATGACGGACGGGCAAAAAATGTTTACATCAGCTACTGGGGGATAAGCAGACCTTAAGTAGGGACGAAAAAGAGGGAAAAGAAGCAGCAAGGAAACAAAACGGGGTTATAATAAACAGGCGTAAGTCACATTACTTATGAATAGTCAGCTAACAAGGAAATTTACCGCAGTTCACCGTTGATTCACAGGGGGAATCAACATCGATTATTTTCAAATGACCCCGTTATCGTATGCTGGCTTAGTATAACGCTCTACGTTTGTTTTTCGGTTGTACCTTGCGCTCCTCCAAAGGTGCACGAGGGAGTGCCAAGAAACAATAACCCAGGTTTTTCATGTTTGTTGTCTTATTTCTGTCTATCGAGCTGTAATTGACCACCCATTGGCCCACAGCACTCTGGGTTGCCAATGGAGAACAACTCTCCCTCTAATAACTGGTGGCTGGCCCGAACAACCCATTGCCACTATCATTATCCGTATTATTGCTTCCAAGCAGCCACGGCTTCTGACACCGCACGTTACATATGTTTTTTCTGTGTCCACCGCAGAACATGTGACAACCGCTTTGCGATTTAGGGGAAATCCACTCCTTTGCAGCGTCGCCACCTGTTTTAGATGCACTGAGAGGTGGTTAAGGTGGGGAGGAAAAAATAAACTACCCTGGAATAGGCTCATATGATTTGACAATGAAAACCAGTGAAGGTGATTTCAGCAGAATAAATTCTACTGGGATTGTTTTCCTGGAAAAAGGCAATGATTTTGCGCGAAAGCCTCTCGTGTATCCCTTATGTCTCAAGCTTTTGGAGTATTGAGACGTGAGAAACATAGGGAATTGTCTCTTTAAACCTAAAAATATAGCTTGGGTTCAAAAAGTTTTTCGCGGCAAGAGAAGCAAACTCATGCATTTCGCGTTTCGGATAGCACGAAGACTGGAAACGCCTGAAAGATATGCCAAGTAATTCTGGAGACTAGTCTATTGGGCTCTGCCTCGTAGTAGTTTAAACGGCGTCAGAGGTTGGGCAAAAGCCATTTTTGCTGACAGGGAATCAGCAACAATTCCGAAGGCAGCCGGGGTGATTGTGCAAGTCCAGGGTAAGCTACGCATGGTGATATTGGAAGAGAGTGGTTAGCTCCAAATCAGGGTATCTTATCATGAGCCAGGCAAGGGTACTTTGTTTTTACTTCCCCCATTCTTTTGTGGTTGTCTGATCTTTCCAAGGTTTAGCATGTTCCCTGCAAGCTGGAGAGGAAATGTTTGACTGCAGTTCTTCGTCCACAGTGTCCACTTCATTCAGATAATTCCCATTCCTCATATGGTTGCCCCGCAAATGCGCCTTCCTCGACAAAGAGAACCGAGGTCAGTCGTGGCCTTACACTGATTGTACCATTATGACCATATCTGACAGTATACCGCCCACTGGTTGATAAAAAACGAGCGATCTGGGAGGGTATTAGATAGTAATGGTGATAAGTTTATTCTTGAGGCCCCTTTGTGCCCACCTGTACGGCGGAAAAATAATTTGTGGCGGCATTCGTAAAACTGCGCGGCTTGTGGAGAAAATTGGCGGAGAAATTCTTGTGCTTGCCCCTGGGATCCAGGTCTGAATGGCGCATTTTATCTCGTGACTTGCGCATGCAGATAATAGCGCGATAATGAGCACTGAAGGGCCGTAGAGGAAGCCCAAGTTCCGTTAACCTGTTTGTAGCTTTGGTGTCCCCGAAGGATTGACGATGATAACACAGACTGGTTAAATAAAATTTTGGCCACCCTTCCTAAGCAGCTGTGAAGGCGCTTCTGAGCCCAGCATTTAACCCAGAAAGTCCGTAATGAACACTGTTAAACTAATTGTACAGTGCTAATTGTTCAGTTTTTGGTTGATAATAAAACTAATAATGTTTATTTCCAGCTCGTGAGTGCAATAGCTTCAGGTGCGAGCATAATGGTATAGTCAAAATAAATGGCTTGTGTTTTTTTGGGCATAGGGGATTGCGCATCAAAGTGATAGGGTCATAAAGAGTGGACATTATCCGATGAAGATGTTAGAATTTGAAGATGGCTGGCAAAAACAAGACGGAGGCATGCAGAACAAGGGACATTTTGCCGGACACATCAGAATAAAACTGCTTTTGGGGAAATTAGAAGTAAAAAGGCCGCTGGCTATTCGCACAATGAGATTGATTTCTCGAAATCTACGGCATTTTCAGACTTGCCACTTCATAGTGTAGAATGTCTATGTATAAGGTACATGCTCCTGTATTATTGAAAATCCTTTACTATGGCGATTTGTTTAAGTGAACTAAATCTGCAGGTGAATAAACACCGCCGACTTTGAATACCTTAACGGATGAAAAAAATCGCGAATTGTGGAAAAGGTTGACTCACATACAATGAACGTAACTTTCAGGTATTTTTCCACCGGAACAGACTTCCTCAACATTCTAGAATCTAAATGGCCTTTGGAGATGCAACTTATGCGCAGGCGCATTCGTGCAAACAACTTTTGGCCGATGATTCCTTGTTGCCAGTGGTGCACGCTAATTATTTGCTAAACATCGTGAACGTTGACTGGCAACTTAC